GAGAAATACTAATTATCGCAGTAACACTATTAAAATATTATAATATAATAAAAAATTATAATACACTCATAATAATAAAATATTTTCAATAAAATAATTTCCTAGCAACTCGTGTAGTATAATAAAAAAATCCGAATAATCAGAGTTTAATGTAGAATTTCTGTGACGAAGAAAGTAGAAGTTCGGCACGCGGTAAAAAAGAAATAAAAATTAATTTAAACGAACAAGTAAATATTTTTAGAAAGGGAAAGAAAAAAGATCGAAGAAAATTGAAGAAGTTAAAAAATATTTTTAAAGAAATATCGTCGTAACGACATCTTCGTCAGCGGTGGTGATCATTTTCAAACTTTAAAAGCCGCGTCGCAAATGATAGAGCTGCTCTTTTTCTTCGACCATTTGATCGCGTTCATCAATCATTTTCATGGAAAGTTCTGCCCCTTTATATTTTGTTGATCTTCTTCAAAAAAGTTGCGAAAGATAGGACATCGAGAGATCGTGTCGTGTCTTAGATTTTCGCGACATTATATATCGATACATCTATAGAAAAATAAAGTACCTTTAACTGCATGCACCGAAAAAGAGTCAAAAGTTTATAGAAGATTATTTCAATCGAGTTTTTAATAGATTGAAAAACATTTTTAGATTAGTATATTGATATTTCACATTATGTCTGATATTTCATTTTATCGAAATTTTTACATTTCTTTTTTTCAACACATCGAAATTGCAGTTTTATTTTTGAAGTTTGCTTGTAAAAGGGAATGCTGTACGTAAATAATAAAAATATCTTACAAATTATTTAGTTTATGATATAAATATTTTATTTCATTATTGTTTTATAGATATTAATATACCTGTATCATTTACAACACAAAACATTGTAAATAAAATGTACTATCGAATAAAATAATAACAAAGTAAAATATTTATATTATAAATAAAATGCATATCGCGTTTCTATTAGTCATACTGTTCACAGTGTTTCCATTTTACAATTACAACCAAATGTTAAAAATAAAATTGAGATTTATCATAAAATTGTGTTTTGCAAAATAAACGAAATAAAATTGCGCAGGAGAAGGTGTACATTTAAATACATTTAGTCAATTGGAAATTTCTTTCTTATTCTTTCATTCAACATTTATCAACGGACGTTTATCGAACACGCAAGTTTTTGACGTTCGATTGCGCATTCATTCCCTAAATCCCGCGTTCGATCGCGCGACGCTTCAAGAAAAGCAAACGCAATCAGACGCTTTATTCGACCTGGCTCGAATATCCGTTTCCGCTTGAAAAAGTTTCCGCGTTGCCAGCGATAGGCGTACAAATGCGCGAACGCTTGACTGTATCGTTGCACGATTTATCGGATTTAATGCAACGATATACTAATAATCGAGATAAATCGTTGTAACTCACAGTTCGTAACAAGAGTAACAACAGTAGCAAATACAGAAACAGCAAATTATCGCTTATTTGGTCGAATGAACATTAAAGGCCATTCCACGTTGAGATAAAACGAAATGAGAATAAGGGAAAATAATAATAAATTTGTTTGCTGCAAGAAAAGAAAGCATGAGAATGCGAATCATATCGCTCAATTTTGAAATTTAATTTTATCATGACTCAAACAATGTAAAATATAAAATTAAATAGACGAAAATTTCAGTGACCTAACATAAATTATTATAGCCATCTATAATTCAACGATATTATTCAAGAGTCGGAGTGCTAAAGAAAAAAGTCTAAGAATGCAAAGAAAATTAAAAGAAAAATTGCATCGGGATAAAATCGGGAAAAATAAATCTACAAAATTTACGTAACCCGAGATTATTTTATAATTGGTAAAATTTACCAATTAATAAAATAGCAATAGAAAATACAATAGTAATGTTTTCGATAATAGAAATATGCAAGATGAACCAACAAAAATTATGATCGTTAATGTTCACCGAGAATGCTCACTGAATTGAGAGAACATATAATACTTTTTCGAGCAGGATTTGTACAATAGGGGCCATTGTGTGTGAACGTAACCATTTTTTGCAAAAGGAATTACTCATCAAATATGACATCTCTATTTTTCTTCACGACGTAGTACATTTCCATGTTTGTTCATTAGCAGCAGCTCTGGAAAGGAATGTGCAGAAACACAAAAGGAAGACAAAGAACCACATAATTGCTCTTCTTGTAGCAAATAATTGTACTTGAAAAACTGTGCAGTTTGAAAATACTCACTGTATTAGTTCCATGGCTGTATAGCTTCAGACATGAAATTCTTATTATTTAGATTAGAAACTTAATATTTGTATGAAAATCACCAAATTCGAAAGGTCAAGAAAATTCTTCTTCCTCAATTTATTCACATTGACAGACATTATAACAATTCTTGCTGTGCCAAATAACTTCAGCTCAGATGTTCTCTTGCACTCGTAAATTTCAAAATATTCACTATATGTCGATTTTATAGTTTCATTCTTAATGTTTAGGTAAGATCATGTTTGTCCGTTATTTCTACGAAATATAGAGGCGTTTACGATTTAATTGAATACATAATTTGACTCTAATTTCTAATCTGGCCATTTTGCAACTTTATGCACGAAAAAAAATTCTTATTGTTCAATTTAGAAATGTTCGTCTTAATTGATAATTTAGTAGCGATATTTCTACGAAAATTACCATCCGAGGAGTGAAAATCCTCCTCCCTCGAGTTATTGACATTCGAATGACATACTGGCGGCCTTCGCAATCTGTCTTTCGCAGTTCCATTCTGCCCGATGCAATTCTCCTTGCTTTTTCCTCTTCCATTCTTTCCTTTTATTCTACTCTAGTCACACTTCCATCTTGTTTCCGCGCCTACTGTCGCATAATGGCGGTAATTTACGTTTTTTCTAGCGAAAAAAATTGAATACAGAGCTAAAGATAAACGCAGCGATGCTCGAGAAAATTTTCTTCTCAAGCATCCTTGTCTTTCTAAATTTAATCTTTTGATGTTTGAAGTATAAATTAATACGTAGTGCTTTTCGTTTTATATCAATTTATACGAGAGCTGGCATTAGACTTTTCTTTTCAGATTTATTTCCTATTTTGAGAAGAAACTGAGGGAACATTGTAGATTACAAACAGATTTCGCATAATATAATTTTTATCGTGTGCGAGAAAAGAAAAGATCAGCAGCATCGTCGACATTTATTTTATTGCTTTCCATCAACCAAAAACAAACAAAGAATGTAGAAAGTAAAATTTTGTTAATAATTAATTCGGAATTTTAATGTATCGTACTATGTTGAACTATCGACATTCTTTTCAATCTTCTTAGATAAGCATCAATTATTATAATTTCGCTAAATGTGAAATATTGAAATGTTGTACTGGATTTGAACTTAAGTCCGCAAATAATTCAAATGTGTAATTGATTTGAAAATATGGATTCCACAAGAATTGCAAATCGTGAAACCATAATTCGTACCATTCGAGTGACTCGATATTGTAAGACACGGGGATTAAACTTCAAATAGTTAACACTCTAATCGTTCTCAGACGCCATAGCTTCTGTTACGATTCAGGGAATAAAGATGCACTGTGCAAATCTATTAAACAAACCGTGAGTGTTCAATAGAAATGAAAACAACAAGACGAGTGAATACGCCGATTGAATCGAGCTGCGTGAACTCTTGAACAATGACGCGTAGGAAAATCATGGTTGTGGCTTAATACAAGGTATTGTTTGAATTCTTGTGCCGGTACTGTGCGATCGAGGATACATCGTGAATGGCAGAATGCCAAGTCGAGTCAAATACACTACCCTATATGTATCGCCTTCGGCCAATATATTTAGGCATGCTGAATTTATGGCTTGTTATTCTGCCTATTACTGCTCTGCAATTGAACGATTGAATAATCGAAAGCTCGAATGTCGAAGGATGTTTCGGTAGCAAGGAATATCGAAAGTAAAGAGATCTTTTGAAGAAACAAAAATACAATGGAAAAGATGAAGCAACTACTCCGAATATAAAGAAACCCTTAAACGTTCGAAAGTCTTAGAACACTTCTTAGATCTATTTTTAATGTATTTGTTATTTAGACGATAATCAGATAATAAAATTTTTAATTTAATTAGCTTAATTATGTTCATTATTAATTATTAATTTATCAACTCTGTTACTAATCTATTACTTCTAAATTTGTACATGTATGCATTTAACTTTATTATTAATTTACGATCACTACTTTATTATTACTTTACAGATCGGTTGTATATTTAATTCCTCTAATTTTGAAATATAGTAGGTACCTGTTTCAAGACTTTTGAACGGAGATGTAGACAAGGGATGATGATATAGGGATGAAAAATAAAAGTAACAATCGGCATACACAGAAAAAAATGGAAGGTATTTAAAATAGCTAATATAAAAGCTCAATATAAAACATGAAACAATTAATTCTTTCTAATTTATTTGTAATGCTACAATATAAATTTAAATTTATGAAAGTAAACACGTGCGAACAACAACGTGTACAATGGGTATGATGGATTCGTAATGGAGCATAAAAAACAGCTCGCTATGAAGAAAATGGCCCGATCCATTTTCAGTATATGTCTTTGTGATATATCAACGCAGTAAAAAGAAAATCGTGATACTGCAATCTAATAAGCACGTGCGTTCGATATCTTGGCGAATATCGATCTTTCACTTAACTCCATCTTCTTGTACCTTACTTTCTATTTACTATCATTTTAAAAGGCTGAAAGATTTATGAACCTCGATAAAAATGTATAATAAGAAGCTAGTGCTTCTAATCGCGTAAAAAATTGCATCACTCCACTAGCTGCCAGTTTTCAATGTATATAAACGGACTGTAAATATTGCATTACTGTTTCTTACCACACTTAGTCTGCTAGTATCGTATCTTCTCGTATCATAGAGAATTAAATTTGACTAAATTTGATCTACTTTTATCGACTTGATTTCTTAATTTCATAACTATGCGCATATCTACAGATTCATAATTTTGCAAAGACTAGGCAAAGAAAGCAAAGATTTATTGTAAGAACACATTGTGCTAATACGACACAACTAAATATTATATTCTATTTATATTTATATTATAATATATTACATTCAAATTTCACGTAGTGTAGAATAATCTCCTCACAGTATTGCATTTGTCGATCCGCCTTGATCTTCTGACCATTACATACTTAAAACAATAATAATTGGAACACTACAAAGGAACGTTAAAAGCGATGCTTATATATCGACCAAAAATATGAAAATGAATAATTACTTCAAATTTGACCGACGTAACACTATGGAAATGATCTCTATAAAAGAGTTTCTTCATTTTTGTTTTAAACAGCACTGCATTACACGCACATTACACAGCAAAAGAAACAGAAAAAAAGAGAGAGAGAAAATTTTCCGCTCTCATGCGCTCTGTAGCTCTGCCAAGATGAGTCAGCCAGTGGCTGGTATACGTATATAGGCACGCATGAAGTAGTACGGGCACACGTTTTCTCGCACGTGTGGCTGGCCGGCGTTCACGTGCTTCGCCGCCGGAATATTCGTATTCTAATTGAATAGGAGCCGGCATCCGGCAAAGTGACATTTCGTGTCGCGGACATTTTCCTGTTCCGTCAAATCCGCCGAATTTTGCATTGTTGCACAATGCGACGTCGTTACGTAATTAACGAGACGTAACGTGCTGGCAAACTGGAAATCCCGTCGTTGTCGTCGTCGCGAACGGCTTTTATCGCGCGATTACGCGAACGTTGAATAATCGATTTGGTTAATTGCCGTCGTGTGCTGTAACCGGGATAATAAATCTTTGTTAAGCAACGTAACTTCGTACATTGTTTCGTGATTGTTTTACCTGGGCTCGTTGATGAATCCAGCGAAACGAAATTGTCCGTCTTCAACACGTGTTCTAAGTTCCCTCGATTTTATTGCTATCATATGCATTTAATTTAATAAATTTATACATGTTAATGTATCTGTTTATACTTCTGTTTTTATTTAAATTTCTGCTTTTATTTAAATGGTCAATGGTCTTTCACTCAATAATTGTTGCAATAATTGAATTGTTTGTTAACGATATTCTTAATAAATTGTGAATTTTTATACATATTACGTGAAATTTAAATAATCTATATATGGCAATGTATATAAATACAAATATATAGAATACACTTGCAATATTACACAGATAAGATAATTTTCTATAAATCAGGCTCCATTTATTTAATTACATTTATAAAAACATTAATACTCTAGTTATTAACCAATTCATATTTTATATCAATATTTATACCAAAATAATTGTAATATATACAATATGGTATGTAATATACAATAAAATAAAATAATACAAAATAAAAAATAAATATATAATAAATTAATATAGCAATACAGTACTTCAACTACTAATATTAATGGTAATGAATTAATGGTAAAGAAAAATAAGTGGATTGTTGTCAATCTTTTCTTTTTATCTAGTTTCACGAACAGGCAATGAAATTTCGTTTTTTGCCCAAGAAGTTGGCGTACATTAATAATGCAACTGAAATAGTACATTAATAATGAACTTTTTAATTGTTTAAATACCACGCTTGTATGAAATTTCCATAAATTATTGCTCATACGTTTGATACTATTGTGTAAATATTCTTCCGATAAATGGGATTCTTTATGCATTGGTCAGACACAAAAACTACGTGTATTTTCGCCTCGACACGACGACGTGGCAGCGACACCTAATGTACTAAACGCATTACGAGAAGCGTTTTGTTAATCCGTATTACGCAAGTCAACGTTGATACTCGGCTGGCTGCGTCGAATTTGTCGCATTTAACGAGGTTGAAAGCAATACTTCTCGGCCTCCTTGCCAATATCAGGAACGCAATAGCAGATAAATTCCGATAGAATCACTCGCGAAACGGGACAAATTAATAACAATCAGAGTAGATTCACAGGGAATGCTTTTAAAGGGGTAATAATTAAATGTTATTACGAACTACTGAAATTCTTGTCTCTTTGTTTTCGTTGAACTCCGCTTCGACCTGTAGTAAATTATCGAGGAGTTTGTTCTCTGCGAGGCTTTGCTAAATATAAGAAGGTCAAGTATGACAGTGTGGGAAACGAAACACAAATTAGACTCTCGTGGCTTATAATAAATACGTTTGTTAATTTATTTAAGTGATTAAGAAAAACTGTATAGATCCGAATACGGCGGTGACAAGGAAATATTAACACTAAACGTACCAAGCGGGGTAAAATTTACTTTAAAATCGTACATTCGTTGTTATTTCTTTCGCTAATCTCTGACTTTTTGTAAATTCTTATATTATCTCTGATTATTCAATTTCTCGTTTTCTGTTTTTCTCTTAGCTTTCTCTTAGTTTTTTACCGAGAAAAATTCTTTGCATACCTTATGTACCGCGAGGGGTCATTTTGATCCCTTATGGTAAGATAGGTATGTGTAAAATACCGGTAAGTTTTTCAAGACTTGCTATCAAGACTCGATACTCTCTACCCAAAAACTTACCCTTAGAATCTCTGTCTTTCGCACTTCACACATTCACATGCACACACACACATACAACCGTGTACTCGTATTTTACGTTTTAAGATTAAGGCGGCTAAACAAACAGTCCCAAGTCTTTTTTCTCTCGCTGTTAGAATTAGGCTGAAATACATCTTTATTTTATAATTTTTATCAAGACATGTAACATTCGACATTCGAGTATTTTTACGAAAATTTTCGTAAATAAAGATACACATTTTATATTTTATATTTCTACGAATAATGGAAGCTTCACACCATGTCCTGTAAAAAAAGATATAAAATAAACTATCAACTGACTATTCAAGTTTAATCAATTGCCTCGTTCTTGCACGAAGGTCCGGAATTTGCGAGTACGTGACATCGGTTCGTAAAAAGAGCGAGATCGTAGTTCGCAAGTCGTTCCATTTCGATTGAAGTCTCTTAACACGCGGGCAGGAAAAATTCGTAATAAACGTGCACGGCTGGAGATGACGTTTCCGGTTAAAACTTCCTTTCCCGTGCTGTTGTCCCGATTAAACGGCCGTGATCGTAGGTTGGAAACTATCTGGAAACCGGCGCGGTAAATAAGAATGATACGTCACAGGGGGATGGGATTAGGATCGGAAACCGATTGACCCAATTTGTCCAGCGACACCCACGCGGACAGATGGTAGCGCGCGGTGCGGCTTTCATTTCACGCGAATCGTTTCTTTCGGGCATCGTTTCTTTCCTCTGTCGCGGCGGCCATCTTGGGAGGACGAAGAAAACGAGAAATTCCACACGTTCGTCGTATTTTCTGCCAGGTCCGTGTAAGAAAACAATTCGCGCGTATTCCTCTCTCCCCCGATTTTTTCTTCGTTTTTTTTTTTTTTCTCACGGAAGTGGGAATTCGTCTCGTAGCTGTGTTCCGCAGAGAGAAAATATAACACGGCGCAGAAATTAATTTCTGTAGTTTCGCCTTCATGTATTCGCGTATATGTGTTGATTTTATGTTTTGAATTGATGTTTTCTTTGTCAGGATACGGGGGGGAGAAATGACGCGGACGTTGTGTACATTGAATCTCGATATTTGGTTAAATTTCGCGTGCGTTTGAGAATGATATTTTCCTCATTCGTACGAATGTTTGAATGGAAAATATGTAGTTGATTGTGAAAATATCCGAATCCTTTTCTGGAGCTTTTGGAAATTAAACACTGTTACATGAGACTGTAAAATCTAAAGATGTGTAAAAATTGTAGGATACAAGAAAATAAAAAGAATATATTTCGTGGATATCACAAAAGTATTTAAACAGCTAATTATCCATTATGTTTATTATATATTAATAATAATATACAATAATATATGCTACCACAAAAGTTCTCCCCACAAAAAGCGTTCGAATACTTTCGCGAGCCACGGTGTATTTTCACGGTGAACAGTGAAACGAAATAAAATCTAGATAGAGATCTGTTTCACGCTCTTGAAAACGTAAAAGAGAAAGACGCGTTTTAGAATGTTTTAGTTTTCGATGAACTGTCGAATGCTTCCGCTTAATCCGTTAGGTTGCGTGCTTTATTCAATGGGCCGATAACTCGATTTGCTCTTACGTAATTTCCAAGGCTCGCAGTATCATTGACGTTTGCCTTGGACGGAGATCTTGGCCGTGGTGGTTGCAACGAATCCGTTTACGTGGCCGAGAAACAACGTGGCCGTAACAACATTGAGTGAATTATAACAGACGATGAATCACGAGCTATAATAGAAGCGCGAAATGTATTACGAGATATACATATTTACATCTACAACTACATGTCATTGCTAAAACTTTTTTCTGATCAAAAAAGAGGCGTAAAATAATAATTTTCTTTGTCACTTGTAGAAAATTATAATATTTACACGATAATTTCTGGTAATTGAAAATCTTATACCTGACAAATTGAACTATTATAAATTAAATTAAATTATTAAGAAATATAATATAGATTAATACAAATTTGATATTATACTCGAATGAATTAATCGAGATCAATGTAATTATATCAAATATATATATATTTATTATCTATTTTGTTACATCAAATCGGTACAAATACAATTTGCAAGAAATTGAAGGCACAGGTATAAAATTTCGTCGAAAGTTGGGGAGAAGTTCTCGACCTATAAATTTAACAATTTTAAACGTTGACGAAAATTGTAAACAAAGTTGTTCAGAAGCTTGCGGCTTCTACGAAAAAATGAGAAGTTTGCTAAACTCTTATATTTCTCGAATGTAGCCGTAAGCCATAACAGCTGTCGTTCGTAATTGTCAGGATGAGTTCGCAAGTTTAACAACAACCTTGCACTTTCTTTTTACAGGGAATAAAAAGCTTCAGAGACGTCCGCAGTTTTTTGTTGCTGTTGGCTGCAGTAACGAGCGCAAGTGCATCAAAATGTAGCAGGCTCATAGACGGCACGACCGTGCCGCGTTCTAACGCCGATGGGAAATATCATCTATTCGTCACTCTATTCAATCGAACGGAAATGGTGTTCTCCTACATGCCGAATACCAGATATACCGGTGAGTTATTTCAAATAACGCCGTTCTTAAAGACTGACGAAAAACTGTATATCTCCCACGAACGCAATTTTCCATTTTCATACGTACGTTCCATTTTAATTTTCAAGGCAAACGAATGAAGTGTAGATCTTTTTCACGTTTATGGAGAATTTTTAAAATTGCGCCTAGTATAAAATATATATATATATATATATATATATATATTTTTCTGCATCGTTTTCACGGTGCTCCTCCCATTTTGTTTGAACTATATTCTCGAAAATATGAATTCGCATAAAAACGAGAATTAATTGCGACTGCCTCGAACGTTTTAATTTGCCCCTACATACGTAAAAATCGTCAATCTATTGACCAGAGTTTCGTTATCTGTGTATCCACGCGGAAGTTCCAACGAGTACGGTCGTTTCGTTTTGCTCGCGAATATTCTCGTAAAAGCAATTAAACGATATAAATCTAGAGTGTCGAAGGAACCGAGGGAAACACGGTGGAAAAAAAAAAAATTCACTTACTCACGCATGGTTTGAACGAAAAAGCGAATCGACGCCGAAGTGATGAACTTTGCCCTGAAAAGTTGAGGGGATGAGATCAAACCGCTGAAAGTTTTAATTCTCTTCGCGACTACTTTGAATAGTTGGATGGATCCGCAGTCCGAGGAACCAGCTTGCAAATTACTTGTTTACCTGACGATTCTGACAGCACGATATTCTTAATTATTATTTGAACGTTAGAGTTCGACGAAAAGAACGAAGCTAAATTTCTTTATAATCTAACTTTGAATTTACTACCGGTAGTAGAAATTTCATTTTAATTCAGTACAACGAAGAGTACAAGCGACATCGTACCAATAACGATGGAAAATTATCGATGTTTTGAACTGT